ACTGACGGTTGACCTTTACAATGCCCTCAATGGCAAATCTAAAGCTGAAATGCTTAACGTTGATCTTCATGAGCAATTAAAGATTTGTCATTCTAAGATCAAAGAACTGACCTCTGTTGAGGAAAATCTTAAAGATCAGGTTATTGTAAACCAGGCCATCACTGTTGAAAGTGAGAAAGCTGTCGCTGAGCGTGAGCGAGCAATCGCTGAACTCAAGGCTGAGAAAGCTACTATTGAAGGATGGTGCAAAGCTTCTCTCAAAGCCTCTGAGATCATTAACGCTCAGATCCATGCCAAGAAAACGACTGGTCTAGGATTCTCCTATGATCAGGAAGAATGTGTTAAAGACAAGTCCATGCTTAAATTTGGTACTTTTGTCTCTTCTATTCCCAACACTTCTTCATCTCAGTCCTCTTTATTTACTGAGAGTCATCTTGAAGGATCTCCTTTGAGTTTTGGTTGCAAAGACAAAGGTAAATCCATTGTCACAGCATCCCTTCCTAAGAAGTCTAACAAGATAAATAGATCTAAATCTATTCCTTCAACTTGTAAAACTTCTTCCTCTTCAGGGACTAGGAAATCTGAATCGCATCAGAAATCTAAGTCACAGCTCAGGGTGAACTTTTCACCTAAGGAATCCATTCCCTCAAAGGTTCCTCCTAGAACCAATGAGAAGTGAATCCTTGGAGCTTGTCCCACTTCTAATCCGATACTTTATGGCCCTAAAGCTACTTTTAGTTTTAGGAAGTGTAAACACTGTGGTAAAAAAACACATGTTGCCAGTAAGTGTCCTTCTATCGTCAAAGCTGGTTCACTAGCTTTGAGCAAGAAAGTAACCAAAGTTGAGAAATCAACTAAAGTGAAATCATCCACAAAGACTGCCTACGCAGTCAAGGTGAAGAAAACCATTGAAGCCTCTTCTTCAGGTTCAGTGAAGACAACTCCTGCTGAAGTATCTTCAGCTTCAGACGTTGTAATCTCCACCACTGAAGTCTCTTCGATAGACTCAGTGAAGACTTCCACTGAAACTACCTTGGTAGTATCAAGGGTTGTTCCTCTTTCCATTCAAACCTCCTCAGGTTTAATGATGCCATCTTCTGATAATGATTCTTCAKTRYCAGATGATGAAGCCTCTAACATAGCTGGACCCMTWGCAGGGTACCAATAGCATTTCTTATTTTGTTTCCTTGTTCAGGATATCAAAGGCATATGGTATATGGACAGCGGATGTTCAAGACATATGACTGGAGATATATCTCTTCTATCTCACTTCAAGGAAGAAAGAGGACCTTCCGTTACCTTCGGTTGTAATGGAAAATGATATACTAAAGGTTTTGGTATATTATCCAACGATACAACAAGTTTCAAACGCGTTGAATACGTTGAAGGACTGAAGCACAATCTTCTTAGCATCAGCCAACTGTGTGATAAATATTATACAGTTAAATTTCTCAAGAATTCTTGTTATATCT